GCGGAAGGGCCATCAGCGGCGGAGGAAAAAGTACAAGAAAATTTGAACGGCCCAACAACGAGGTCCAAGCAGGATCACGACAGAAGTTTTCCACGGTTCCACCAAGACCAGCTGCCTTCAAACGGCCAAGACCACAAGCAGAGGACAGAAGGAAGATGTTCAAGGGTGGCCGTAGTGGTGAAAAACGGAAGCTTCCAGAGGAAAGCACTGAAGGGCGAGCCCGTACAAGAAGGAGGATCAACCAAGCTACGGTTTGCACCACCTTTAAAGATTGGGCCCAGAAAAGGATGTCTGAATATTACAAAGATAAGTAAAATTTTATGTTACTTTACAAACTTAAGTTAATCTTTCATTCTTACTGCAAGTGGCAGATTTTAAGAAGTTTTTTACCTCATGCGAGGTCTACTACCTTTATCGCCAAAAGGGCGAGAAATGAGTTGTGACCGATTTCTTATTATGTTTTTCAATTACTCGCGTGTAAAACTAAAGTTGATGTATAATAGCGTTGTATAAAGACTTAAATATTGTAAAAAGTTATTGTATAAAATTTTATTTAAAACATTCTAACGAGAAAGACGTTTTAGTCTGAAAGACTTTTTGAAATGTAGTATTATTTCAATGTAGAAAGAATTGGCACTTGCTTTGAAAAGAATAGAAGTTAACAATGTACTACTAATGTATGTTTTCAAATGTGTAAAATTAACGGCATCCTGATATTTTCTTGTATACATGTGAACTGTTATTTTGAAATTTAGAAATACCGTGATATGGTAAAAGTGAAAGTAATGTTAAAAAAATTTTTATTCGTGTGACTGTAAAGATTAAATCATGCTGAATATGTGTTAAAGGTTGAATGATGTAGTTAGGCTCTCTGACGCTACACTTTAGAGTTAGCCACTTTCAGAATAGTACCTCAGGGTCTAGAGTTGAAATTAGGGTGTGTTTAAGAGGTCTCGTATGTTGAATTTTTAACACGTTAGTGTTTTGATTGTAGGAGGAAGTGTTGAACACATAGACAGAAACACATTCGTGTTTGGTGTTTTTACAACACATGTCAGAGAGCACGGGGAGAGATAATTAAAAATAGTCATGAATGAAATAAGAATGTTAGAAAAGTATATTCTATATGTTATTTGCAATGTCATTCTGTAACATTTCATTAAACTAGTTTTCCTTCCAGATCTCTGGAAGGAACCCAGAATTGAATAAAGCTCCTGTTTTGATGCAGTACAGATGAAAAGGAAAAGATTGTTGTATATTTCCGGGAGCTGCTATTTGTAACAAATTTCTTTCTTTTAAATTTTTCTAGTTTCTAGCGAAGCATTTTTTGTAAAAGGTTGGCCTCGCGTTAGATTCTAGAGCTAAAAGTTTTCAACAAGGTCGTTTTAGACCTCAGTTTCAAACTAATTAACTCTGGCGGGAAGTATGTAAGGATCTTAAGTTTTACTAACGTTTATTTTATTTTAAATCTTACTATCACTTCTTATTTTCTACTTCCGGCCAGAATTATAAGCGTGAAGGAGTTTTTATGCAAAGTTGTCTGGCGAACGCCAAGTATTTAAGTGTGGCCTTTTTGCCAAGCAGGAGAGAGGAAGCCGTGAGTTCGAAGCAGGCCGCTTACCTTAGAAGTTACGCAGTTGCTACTTTGCCTTCCAGGCCAGAGGTTTTAATCCTCTTGATAAATTAAACGTATTGTAGTGTTCACAGTCTCTGTGCTACATACGCTTTCTGTTATTATAAGGCCAATCTTATTCTAAAGTTAAATTAGAGTTTAGTTTTATTTTGATATCTTTTAAGTTTAGACCCCGAGTGGGAGGGTCATTGTATTCCGAAGTACGGAAGTCATTGTATATAAAGAAAAAAATAAAGGGTTTTGTATACCCTTCGTCTGTATCCTGTCTACTTACTACAATTAGTGATTATGAACTAGCTTTAGTAAGCTCTCTGTTCTAGTCAGGTCATTGTATGTTTCCGAAGAAGGTAAAGAAAACATTGAACCTGATAATGTTACACAACACCGACTTTTACCAGTCAGAGCCATCCAACGCATAAATTATCCTGTGAACCGTTAGGCCAAACTTACTATATTTAAAGTTCCTCGTTACCTTTTTGAATTAAACCGAATGTGTTTGCATGCCTTCTGCGATTATATTTAGTTAACAAAATGTTCTTTACGCGCTTTTCTGGACAGGATAATTCCTCGCACGGTCTACTAGTATCTAGTCAGTTTATGCCTGCGAAAAGCACAAGGCGCTATAAGGCAAGTCATAATGTACTTCATCTAAGGTAAAAAAAATTCATAAGCGCGCCTAGGGAAAAAAAAAAAAAAAAACGCTCTCGTTAGTAGAATAGAGAAAGAGCCAAAGACAGAACCAAAGGTAGCCGAAGGAAGAAAACAGATAGCAGAATATAACTTCCCTGTATGGCCTATTAATTATAAATTTTTTTGCTTCATGTCATTTTAAAACTTATTTCCTCGAATTTCATTAGAGATAGATTTCTCATTCAATTAATTCAGTTCTCATTTCGCGGCAAGGCAAAAGTACATAAAAACTCAAAACATTTTTATTAAAATTGTAAAATAGAAAAACAGAAAAAACATAAAACAAACAATTAAATATAGAATTAAAGAAACTAAGTTAAAACAATTAAAAACTAATTCTTAGAATTAAAATTAGATTTTCTACGCAAAAGCAAGTAATTTGGCCAGCGGGCAGCAAGACAGATCTTTCGCTGCGCAAAACTGAAAGTTTACTTTTGGTCCCATTCGGCAAAAAGACATTGAATTTGGTGAAGAAGCTGATTTAACTTACTATTTTAGTGCGGTCTACTGCAACCAAAAAAGAAGATGCACAACTACACATAATACCAGTTCCATACACAAAACTTCAAATTTCTGAGGTTATTCGTTTGAGTTATGCGAGATACATACGTACGTGAGTACGTACGTTCAGGAGTCACGAAAAAATATTTTCTGAATCTATTTTACAATCCGTTTCAGGAAAAAGAGTTCTTTATTCTGTTCGTACGTACAGATGTTACGCAAAAGCATCGTTCAGATATATTCAAGTGCCGTCAAAATGGATATTTGCGTTGCAATATAATTCCCAAAATGTGTCGCGATTACAGTACTTCCTATACTTCGTGAAAGGAAGTAAAAAGACAAAAAAAAATATATTGAACTAGAAACATTTTTAACTTAAGCAAATAAGGTTGAAATCGATAATATGAATAAGATATCTTGCTGTGATGTTGATGAATATTTCTTACCGTATTATGCTAAAAAAAATTTCGTTACTTAATCTGCCAGCACCATAAACCTTTTCTTAGAGATATTTTATTTTGAGTGCCAAATGCAAAGACTTTATTCTTCTATTTGCCATCTGAGATATGATGTTCAACTTTGAAAGTAAATATCTAGATCAATTTTTGTCGTACGAGAGGCACTCGTTTTATATTAGGCTTTTTTTAATGAAATAATATTTTCCTAATTATGAGTGCAGGAACAGAGAAAACGTACATAATGTTGGATTTCGTAATATTTTAGAAAATTAGTCTCAATAAATTTAAAAATGCCAAAAGATGAAAATTTCTGTCATTTGAATCATTTTTGTAACTGGAATTACACTTGAAATGGTCTACTGAAAGTATTTTCGGAAATAAAGGACGGCTAAGGAATTTTATGGCACGAAATTTATAATTTCGTTTCGTGGCACGAAGATCCTTTGGAGAGTTATGGAAAGGAAAGAGAGGTGAGAGATCCACTGATCTGTCCCAAAGGGGATTTTCTTTCGAAATTTGGGACCATGCTTGAAAAAATGGTGTCTTGACCTATTTTCATTTCATCTTTAACAGCTTTCATCTTCTCTTTAAAAGATTCCTTTCCAAATTTAATCTCTTCTTTAACGGATAACATCTCTGCTTTAACAGAATCTTTCATGTCTTCTTTAAATGATGCTTGGCCAGCTTCCATCTTTCCTTGACCAGATTTTCATTTCTTCTTTAAATATGGCAAAGGTTGCTATGAGATGCCTTAATTGTTCTTACATCGCTCTTGTTATTGTCATTCAAACCCCACTCCTGACACTAAAAAGTGTTGCGTGCATACAGTTTGTTATGAATTGAATGCACAAGTCCGATGAAAAATGAATAAAATTTATTATTGTCATAACAAATAAAACAAAAATGCTTAAATTTCCTCAGATATTTGTACAATATCTCAATACCTCACAGTAGTTATCTTTTAAACTACTAAAAATCGTTCAACAGAACTAATTCAAAATAGAGAAACGAAGAGAAAGCTAATCCGATTTCACCGCGAATTCGCTACAGTAAACAACAGCTGTTTTTTAAACAAAACTGAACTGAGGTGTTCTTTCTCTGGCTTTTATAGCTTTTTAAATCGGCCGCACAAGATTGTTATAGCACTTTCTAGTTAAAAAGAGATATTTATTTATTAAAAATTAAATGCACGTGGTCTTGTATTTTTAATTTTCCGGCTTAGCTTTCTCTTAATATTCGTCACGCGCTGTACTGCACGAGGAATAAAACAATATAATTTATAATTCTATTAACATTAGCTATTTAAATACCAAATCCCTAACAGTATTTTATAATTTTTTATGAAGATGGTTTGAGCTTTTATGTATTCTTGCCTTGCCGCGAAGGAAGAACTGAATTAATTGAATGCAAAATGTATCTCTAATGAAATTCGAGGAAGTAAGTTTAAATGAAATGCAACAAAAAATCTGTATAATTTAATAGACAGTACAAGGAAGACACGTGGTGTCCCCATCAGATTTTGTTAATTATACTCTGAGAACTACTAATCGCTTTTAGAATAAAAACGACACTTGTTTTCTCGGCAAAAATGCTTTTAAACTCGAAAATAATGAAAAATTTCCTTTCTTAATATAAATTGATTTTTCTTTTTTAAATGGTCGATAATGTATTAAAATAACAACTATGATATGTATTCTAATCAATGTTTCCGTTCTTAGTATTTAGGAACAGATAAAGAATGTCCTGCAGCAAGAAAAGCAGCGGAAGAAATGTTAGAAACAGAAGAAGGTAAAGAGTTTTTAGAATCTCATAAGGTAGGCGAAATTTCTTTGAATGGTTGATTATTCCTGCTGAGCTTATTAACAAGGAAGATCTGGTAACCTTCCAAAATTATTTTTTTAATGGTAACTAATCTCGATTTAAGAAAAAAAATTAGCTGCCATATTGCTGTAAATAAGAAAATAAAAATATGTTAATTATAAACGATATCGGATATTTGGCAGTCCTCCAGAATGTCAAGTTTATATAGTGTTACGGATTTGGTATTTAAACAGGTAATGTTCGTAGAATTATAAATTAAATTATTTTATTTTCCGTGAAGTGCAGCGCGTGACGAATATTAAGAGAAAGCTAAGCCGGAAAATTAAAAATACAAGAACAAGTGCATTTAACATTTAATAAATTATTATCTCTTTTAATTTATATTTAATTCGAATAAATGTCATTGACTAGTGTGTTTAACTGTAATTCTAATCGTACACGTTATTACGTTATTGTTTAACGTAATTCTAATCACGTGCGGCCGATCTAGAAAGCTATAAAAGCCAGAGAAATTACATCTCAGCTCAGCTGCTTGGTTACTGTACGGCAGGGATGTCAAACTCATAGGTACACGTGGGCCAAACAAACAAGGTTTAAATTTAGACGGGCCGAAAAAAAAAATCAATATTCATAGAAACGTAGATTTATTTCGAATAATACAATAATAAACATATATAAATATGTAAGATAAAAATGTATGAATCAGAATTATAATATAACTATAAACATTAATTCTTCCTCTCTATTCTAAAAGCGTAATAACTTATCTTAATATGAATAATTTAAATAGCTTAAATTCGTTACTTAATTTGCTCACACATATTTATGAAAAATTAGAAAAATTAATGAACAAGAATTTCAGATTTTCTCAAAACAAATTACAGAAATTTTAACCAAAGTTGAATGAAACTATAGAATCCGCAGCACATTAAATAATTTAGTTCCTGAGCTACATTCACAAGAATGTAATAATTTTTGAGCTGTTGAAAAAGCGGAAGTGCAAATAATTTTCTGTCGCACATACTTGCAAACACTAACTCAGATCGACCTTGAACTCGCTGTAATGCTGAATTCCTAAACGGTAATTCACTGATGGTTTAAAGCACTTTTTTTCTAAATATTGTAGACATCGGCGAAGCAAATTCAATATTCCTATTTACTAGGCAATCGAACTTCTCAATTTATCGAGAGATTACTTTCAATCTGTAAACACTACGCGTGATTATTTTTTTGAAGCACTTGCAAAACACCACAGCAGAAGAATGATCTGTTATTTTTTAAACACCTAAAAAAAAACATTTGATGATTCACTTTTTTTCACATTATCTTGGATTTATCACAAAACGATGATTTGAAGAGCTGAATTAAATTTTCCATTGAGGTTTCAGGCTGCAGGAAACTATCCTACCGGCTTAAATGTCATAATAAAAGCAAAAGGAAAAGACGGAACACTGTAGATCGGTGATCTAAAGAACTTGGCATTCGAGGCAGTTTTAATTTTATATTCTCTTTCTCACATATATCAAATATTATTTTAAGATATTAAATGTTCATCAAAATTTGGAGAGAATACATAATATCATTAAAATAAATTAAATCAATTGAATCTTATTTGTTTTAAAATTTGTCTAAGAGCTCGATGAAAAACAGCTGGGATTTTTCCAACCAAAAGGTAATCTAGTAAAACTCATACAGTCCAAAATTTGTAGTGAATGCCAATTTTTCAGTATCCTTTTCATTTAATTTTATATGCCAATAGCCTGATGCTAAATCCAATGTAGAAAGATTTTTGCATTTGTTAATTGATATTACAGCATCATTCTAGGAATAGTTCAGAATCATTTTAGTAATTTGGTAAGCTTCCTGAAATCAATAAAGTTTTGATGTTTTTGAAATTTTATTGAGAATTTTGAATACGAATTTTTAATTATTCTAAATGACGTAGTGTAAAAAATAGTGCAATTATTCCAATATGTAATATGAAATTATGGTAAATGCATTTAAATTTATGGGTGATTGTACTTAAGTATAGTGTATGTCGAGGGAGTACTGGGTTCTTAAGCAGAGGTCTGTAATTACCTCTGTACAGTTGTTCCCTTTCCCTCTTCAAGTAAATAATGTTGAGGCTCTCATTTTATGAGTGTTTGTAATTTTTTATATTATTTATTATATTTTTTTATTATGGAATGTATTAGTGCAGTTCTCAAAGGCCAGTTACCTTAATGCAAGGAACGGAGGCTTTTCAAGTAACTACCTAGGCACCCTGGGCCCCCAGTGCAGAGAACACCTGGTTAGCTCAAGAGGACAGCCCTATTGATGGATATGTTTGTTTAGAAGTATTGCGAGGCTTCCAGTTTGGGTAAAATCAGGAATTGTAATGGAAAGATGATAAAAGTGAACCATAATCTGAAAATCTTAATCCTATTATTTATGATGTTAAATTATAATTAAATATGAAATAGTATCATAAATATTTATTGGATTACATTTAATTATAAGTAGTGATTATGTAAAAGTTTATTTTTGTGATATCGTAATAACAAGAAACTTCCCTAAGAATTATGATTATATGAATTCTTCTCAAAAAAAGACTTTTGGACTAAAATGCTGAAATTCATAGGACTCTAAAAATTAAAAATTTATTTAAAAAAAATTGATATTTATAAATTATACTTTACAGGACAAAATTTTTATGATTTAATTTTATTTTTATCTTTATTTTTTTTTACATTTTCTAGTGTTTTTAACTCTTTCTCTTTAAAAAGGCTTCTCTGTCGCTACGCCTTTTTCTTTTTGAAGGGGGGAAATTGTAAGATAAAAATGTATGAATCAGAATTATAATATAACTAAAACATTAATTCTTCCTCCTATTCTAAAATCGTAATAACATATCGCATTGCGTCATTCAAATTAATCATCGATCTTATGTAACCGGTTATACCAGATGCCTCTTGACGACCATCGCCGAATTGTAAACCAAAACTTTTCTCTCGCGTGCTTCCATCTTTCATAACGACGCACTTCAGCTTTTGTTCTCCTCTGCATCACTGATCTACAGGTCCGTCTTTTCCTTTTGCTTTTATTATGACATATATTTATACGAAAGAACAAGAAAAATTTAATGTTTACGTCCTGATACTTGACATCTCTCTCTCTGCTATTATCTTTCCTATTTCGGAGAAATTTTGTTTGCAGTGATAACTTTCACGCTGACCCAAGGTGAGTATCATTAATACGGTTTCTAATAGAGACTTATTACCTTTCATGACTGAAATACTCTCGCACCGATAAGTGCTACCAAACATGGAAATAATTTCATATGCGAATTTTCGAGTATTTTCAAACCTGGCTGATAAATATTTTTAAAATTCAGGCACGCCCACTTCAATGAATTTTGCATTCAAATTTGAGTTGCGTTGAATCTCGATCACCTTGTAGGGTTTATATTTATTTTAACTAACATTTATTTTAAGTTTAAACTATCTTTCCTGTCAAGCCTTACTTTCCCCTGGAACGGCCAATGCCAGAGTATGTAAATTTTAGTAGAACGCGCAAGGATTCAAATTATCAGCGGAAGTATTCTGAGTTAAATAGAAAGGAAACGAGTTGGAGGTGTGCTGTTCTTACTTCACGAGCGCGGAGTTAGTTAGCCAGAAATTGAAGAACCCCGCGTTTCGGCCTGTGTGCTTGCCTGGAAGAAATGTTAATCGTTCAAAGTGATCTTCAAGTTTGCTGAATTAGCAGCGGTATTGTAAAACGCGGTGAGGTTAGTTTTTTTAGAGAGCCTCGTAGTTAGAGTCTTGTCATTAGTTTCTTTTCAGGTTATTATTTTTTATTTTACCGCCGGGTCGGCGTAGTTTGTGAGCGTCAAGAGCACGCAATTGTAATTCTATTAAGTTGAATAAAAAGGGACTTAAACCCTTCACAAGACTCTGTCTTTTTCCAGTTTTTTCACAGTCACCTCTTTGTTGCGTGCAGGTTGGAGGCGCGCAACTTTACATTGGCGCCCGAACACTTATCGAACTGAAATGGCCGAAAATGGATGGAAGCCGCTGGACAACAACAAGAAATGACAAGCCAATTGGAAGGATTTGGATACCTGGTCCAGACTTTGAGAGCGTCAATCAAGCCAAACGTCATTTCGACGGAAAAAATTCGGTGGCGATATTTCTAGAAGGCCTAGAAAATCACTCTTTCAGCTCTACCCTGTGCCTGAAAGACAAAAAGTTGCCATCGCCACATCCGCACTAAGAGGACAGGCCCGCGCTATGGTGGAAAAATATAGGCAAATTTTTATTAGGGGAATTTGGAAGCCAGACATATACATTTGAAAATTTCAAAAAAATCGTTAGTAAAGGCCTTCCCCATAGTGAAAGATCGAGCAAGGCTGGAAGCCGAACTATATAGTTTCTATCAACGGGATATAGAAGAATTGACGGACTTTATTCTTCTACGAAAAATTAAGCTGACGGATATGCTGTATGGGAAGAAACCCGATGCGGAGATTATTGAAATAATCTTACCAAGATTGTTACCCCGCTGTTCAAGACTACTACTACTTCGAAATTAGAAACCCAAGCACATTGCAGGAAGCTCTTCGAATTGGCGGTGAAGTTTCAAAATCGCAGAATAGCGGAAAAAGCTAGAGGGGCAACGTATTCTCAAAGTACCCGAAGGAAATCTTCAAATGAGGAAACCAGAAATGGAAATCGCTCTTATGGGGGAAAGAGCTATCAAGCTAACTCATCGAAACTCGAAGGTCAAGGCCCAAAAAGAAAATTCGAAAATAAACATCCGCGTACCCAGAAGGCACAGATTGAAAGGAAAGCTTTAAACGAGTAGAGGGGCCTGTGAAAGGGAGGGTCCAGACCCCGGAAGTTTTAAAAAAACCCTCAAAAAGACATTTAAATACGGTCATCGTAAAAAACTCACATCTACCAATTATACAAGTCCTGGTTGGCGATGTACCAGTAGAAGCCCTCATCGATACAGGAGCAGAAGGAAATTTTATGAGTGAAAATTTCTTCAAAAAGAA